AAGAGAGGACTTGGATATTCAAACACCTCAGACAGCTATACAGCAGGGATGTCCTTCAATTATTTTTTGTTCCTTCCCAGTCCCAAGTCCCACTGGGACAAACTGAGGAAAATCTGCTCTATGTCAAGATGCTTTTGGCTCCTGAAGTTCTTGCCCAGCTGGTGCAAACCAGCAGATACCAGACCATTGCAGGCACAGTCTGCCAGAGAAGAAAGGCAAACATAATATAACATGTAGTTAGTAAAAACAAAGAGTGTCTCTCACTTAGGATGGCCTTAACCATTCAGAAAACCTGGATATTTCACAGTATGAGCAGGCTTCAGAGTCCAGCACAGAGTACGTTGGACTTAAAACATATAAAACTGGCAAAGGAAGGTTGACTCTGTATAACGAGGGTAGGTAGCACTTGGCTGCTACTTTAACAAGCAAATGGCACAGAATGAATTTTTACATTGCTTCCTTAGATGATCAGTGAGGAACTAAGGATATTTCCAGATAGCAGATGGATGCTTCATCAAGTCACCAGGAAAGAGAATGATTTAATGAAAACAGCCACCACATCACCTATCACCAGAAGACCACCATAGACAACCCCTTTCAGGCAAGTTCCCTTAAATGCCTTGATTCTTTCCTGTGTTTCATTCTCAAAGGAAAAAAATGCCAGTGTGTGTGAAGCCATTTAAAATCAGGTACTGAATGATAAATCCTGATATGTTGTTTCATATAAATACAATATCAAATCATGAAGCTGTTTAAATTACATATCCTGTTCCTCTTCACATGAGACTTTTTTTGCCTGGTTCTCTGAAAAACTACAACACATCCTGTGATCTTTAGCTTAAGTTGACTTTTAAAAGCAATACCTTTCTAAAAAAGGCAACTTCTCATGTTCTGGAGTTAGAAATTAAAGGTGTGCTAATGGCCTTTTCATTACATTGCAGTAGCAGAAATCAAGTTGTATCAGTAAAAATCCTGAAAATAATGACATTTTCATTCCCAATGGGGATAGCAAGCTGCTAATTAAATCTGTCTTGACTAGTTGAGAGCACTGATAAATTCTAATGTAATGTATGCACTGAAGACAGGCTAATACCAAAAATGTTTAAGGTCTGGGATTTTTTCCAGGAAAATTAAGATGTCAGTTAATTGACTTTTTCCTGTCTGGTTTTCATTGACGACCTCCACAGATCCTTTTTTTCTCAGTTTTTCTCTCCCCCCCATCCCCAGTGTTGTTATTTTCAGTAGAAAACCCCACACTTCTCCCTCCTCTTCTTCCAATTAGCTGTAATTATAACAACATTAGCAGCAAAGTAGGTACCTTGCGGGCAAAAATCTGGAAAGCAGCAGAGGGTGGAAGGGAACAAGAGATGGTATTATAATGAAAGTAAGTGGACACATCACGCTTCTTCATGTGCTTATGCAGGCATCCTTAGGGCTTTGCACATTGATTTCTGCTTTCCCTAAGTGTGCCAAGATGAGCTGCTCTCGCCTCTCCCACAAGCATCCAGAGCTACCCCTTGAACTGAGAGGTATGTGAAGGGCTATGTTTTGGCTTCTCCCCTGTGCCTGGCATAACTGGATCCAAAATAAAAATGTACAGTTTAGGTCAAAGAAATCCAGTAGTTATATCTGATGTTCTGAAGGGGTAACAGGGGTTCTTAAATACATGTACCAAGAATCTTTCTGCCAAGAAAACAAACACAGTAAGATTAACTTTGGAAGTGAAAAAGGCAATACATGCCAGCAGTTGTGGCATGCAAAAGGGTTCTTGCTCTGAGTAGGCTTTGAGCAATAAACCTCTTTTCCAGAGAATTTTTCATTAAAAAAAAAGGGTTCAGGGAAAATCTCCAAAATCAATCTTTTTTTCAACTGTCTTTTCAATTTTGCACAGTTGGATAAGGAAGGAAGTCAATGCTGCTTGCCAAATAAAGTGAGGTTAAATACACTTGCTGGAAATCTTTTGCTCCTTAAAAAGAAAAAAAAAAAACCCCACACAACAAAAGCCAAAAAAACCCACAACCAAGAACAAAAAGATCAAAAACCAGTTCCAGGAACGCTGAGTGACGGAGCACAGAGAGACTTAGGAGCTAATGTCCCTCCAAAGGCAGTGTCACTGGTCAAACAAGGCTAAGCTGGAAGAATTTAAGCACAGCTTAGGACCAAGCTTTCTGTATAGTAAAGTACCTGGGGAGGGACCAGCCCAGAAGCAGGCAGGAAAAGTTATTCTCTTGGAAATATATTTGCCGATGCAGTGAGACAACATCTCATCTCATCATCATCTTTAATCTCTACCTGCCTTCCATCACTTTACCTTTCCACATTGCCATTCTCTCTTTATTGTGACCTTCAAGGAAACACCTTCGCTTTTTTGAAAGCCTAATGATTGCCCCTAATCCTGCTTTGCAGCTAGGCGGTTGCCCTGTGAGGACTACCTGATCTCCATTGCAGCCCACCTATGGAGCATGGCTGGGCACAAAATGTTCTTATCCATCTCTTCGCACTGCCTGTTTTCAGCTGGAGTATTTCGTGGTTGGGAAGATATGGAGAAGAAATACTTATGTTCACAGACAAGCTGAACTCTGGTATTTGTTATCTGAGTTTTTAAGCAGTTTAACAAGAGGTGCAACATGAAACTTTCTGGAAGAAAATGCTAGTAAAATCAGACCCATAAACTTGAATACAGCCCACACCCTCCTATTTGCAAACCTCCTGTTGAATATTTCTGGATTCGGTTCAGATCCCAGTGGTGGCGTTGAAAACTGAACTTTTGAGGAGATTGCAACATGAAAGAGCAGGAGCAGAGAAACCAGGTTAAACCCGCACCTTCCTGTGGCCATGCAGACATACAGATGGAAGGCAACTGCATCCTGCAGTGCAGCCTGGCATGAAAGTCACCCCAAACCATGGGCCTGCCTTTAGTACCTGTTGGCACTACGAATGTGCAAGGGTGTAGAATACGTCGAATCACTAAACACATCATTAGGGACAGAATTATTTTCCCACCCTTTTTAGAAAATGGTATTTTACGTGGTTAGTAATTCTTCACTGTCCCATGCAACCACTGTGAGCTCAAAGTTGTCTCCATGCTTACCAATGGAGACGCTGTGTTTTTTAACCTAAGAAGCCTACTAAAACTGTTTCTAGGGTCCCAAAGCCAGAGGGGCCTGAATGGTTCTTTGTTAACTTTTAAGTAAACTCCCTAAAGCCAGAGACGTGTTTTCATAAACGAGTTGAGTGTCTTTATGCAGCCAGAGGGATCATCAACTTCTGGTTAAAGAAGGCAATTCAACAATAACTGTGGGCAACTGCGGACAAATTAAAAAGTAATTGATAAAATAATTTAACTCTTGATTACTGAATCAAAAATATAAAGAAAGGTCAAGTCTTACCCACAGAATCCCTTCCTGGATGCCAGAATGTGTACATACAGCCAGTAGTTTTTATTGTACTTATTTAGGCATACAGAGGAATAAAAATGTTAAGTAAATGTAATCAAACACACATACCAGGATTGCTAGTTGTGTTTGGTGACCTCCACATATTCACACACACACACTCCTACCGTCATATTTCCATGCCCTACATGAACCAAGGCAGGGATAAGATACTCAAGCATGCTGTTGCATCACCCTCTGAACCCTGTGCTCAAGGGCATGCTGATGTGATTCAAGGCTGAGGACTGGTCTCTCAAGCCCCAGTAGCCAGCCTGTGGCAACTCTGGGAATAACTGTCTCCCCCTATAGTGCAACTTCAGCCTTACATACCACAAGGGCTACAAGACCCTTCTCTTCATCCAGATTCTTAACTGGTCCATAAATACTTAGCTGTAAAACAGAGAGGTAGATCACTAAAACCAACTCCTCATGCTCTTTTCAGTAGGATTAAATCCTTAAATGGCCCATAGATACTCTAGCTGCAAAATAGAGAGACAGGGATTACTTCACCAACAAGTACCATAGGGTAGCTCTGGGGTGTTTTAGTCAAGGAACCGATGACTGCTGAGCACATCGCTGATCACTTAACTGACAAACTTCTTGGGAAAGAGGGAGCTGATGTGGCCCTGATGAAGTAAGCGGTGCTCACTACTCCAAACTGCACAGACACATAAGGTTTTTGCATAAAGCCATACTTCATAGCTGTAATCTTAGCTGAACTGCAAGGATTTCATTTAGGTAAGTACCATTGTCTTGCTACCATGGAACATCTCTTGTTCATTCTCATTTTGGAAAGAAAGGCTTAATGGAAAAAAAAACAGATTCCCCCCCCCCCCCCCCCCTTTTGCCCCCACCTTATTCCTCTCATCCTTCCTGTATTCAGTTATTTCCAGGCTAACTAGAAAGGGCTCAAATCAAGAAGTGCCAGATCCAAACCATCACACTACCGTGAAAGTTCAGTGCTGGAGGTAACATTGGTCCTCAGAGTTGTGCATAAATGGTCCTCTGACAACTACCAAAAAACAGATCTGTGGGGAAAATAACAGACTGGAGTAGTATTTAGAAAATAGGATCAAATAGGATTGATCAAATTTCTGTAGCAGATTTTGTTTAAATTTTTAAAATATTTCAGTGATTATCCTATTTCTGTAGATACAGGCAAAGAGGAGTTTCTTGCAGAAAATAGAAAGACAAACTAGGCTTCACAAAGGCAGAAGTCCTTTAAGATAGCCTTCTTCGAATGTGGGAGCAGCTAAGAAAGCTGGTGCCAGTCAGAAGAAAAGTACAGATATGATTACACAATAAGCAGAGTACATGAGATTACAGTTGGTTACAGAAGGACCTGGAGAACTTAAGTCAAATGCCAAGGCACCTGGGTGCAAATAACTTCACAAAGGAGGGCAGAGAGGGAGGAAAACACAATCTAGGTACATCTATACAAAACTGCAGAAAAAATTCATAAATCCTCTCTGGTGACAATATGCTTTTTCAGTGCCAATGACATTATAGCAAACTAGTTAGCGTTGACATAGAGACTCTCATAGATCTCAGACATCTTTAAAACAGGCTTTTTTGACGGTATATCATAAAAAATATCAGTTTCCCAATTCATTTCACTTGTGTTCAGCTCTACAGTTACAACCTGTGACCTGCATTTTGTAATTATTTCTTAAGAAAAAAAACCCAGTGTCAAAGGAAAATTTGTTCAGATAAGGAAAACTTAAGGGTTTTCCCTAGAAACGTCAATCTACCGAAATAGCATTCTTAAAGGAAACTGCCTCATGCTTAAAAGTTGCTGCACTGCTGTTTTGTTTTTCTACAATGAAGACCTATCTCAGAAGGGATAACATTTATCAGTCAGTTTATCACCTAATGAGGAAATGAAAGATGAGAAATAAGATTCGGGAATGCTGCTGCGCATACTAGCTCGTTTAAACCCACCACTGTAATTAGCACTCATACAAAATAGAACAAAGAAATTGGAACATCAAGAACACTTTCATGACATATTCTTGGAGTTCCTATCTTTGAAACCTTTCTCAAAACACTTAAATGCAGATTTAATATAGGTGACTTTATATAACACATAAACCCAGGCTAGTGCCTTTTAATTGATAGTAGAAGTTGGACTTCTCTGTGATCAATGGCTAATAAAATTATCTTTGTTTTATCCACAAAGATAAAAAGAATAAAAGCCCCAAAGATGTTAAACAGACATCCTACACAGTGCTATGATGGGGCTTGTTGAGAATTCCTCTTTATGGGGACTGAAGAAAAAAGGGAAGGGGAAAAAAAAATCTCCAAGTGTCCTACTCGCTGTCCCATTGAGAAGGAGGTATTTGGATGTTCTGGACAAAGAACAGTAATAGAAAGACAGAGTATGGATTTTTAAAAAAGTTTTTTCAGGGAGCCAGAAGTCAAGTCATATAATCAAGCAGGGTAAAAGAAGAACTCTCTTTCTTCAGATCCCCTAAGTGTACTGCCCTGGACCACAGCTGCAGTTGGTGGCCGGACTTGCTTCATTCACTGTTATAAACATCCTCCCTGTATTCTCTGGTGCAGTAAATCACTTGGAGTTTAAGTGGGAGGAACTATAAAATTAATCTCCTGTCCTCTCTTGCAGTCACAGCACTACTTTCCCTACAACCACATCAGAACCCTCCAAACAGTTGCCATGTAATTATGGGAGGCTCATCCTCCATTTCAGCGAGTGATGTTCCCACCCTACCCTCTCTTCTGTGCAAATGTGGACAACAATAAATAACAGAACAGTTCCTCTGTAGCCATCTTCTTCTACATGTTACAAAACAGCTTTTGGTGAATAGTCCCTGCCATCCCATATGGTACCCACTTGCACTGTGAAATGGCAGACACATGAAGCACACACACGCCTGCAGTACACACCAGCAAACTTTGCTGGTCCCCCTGCACCACAGGACGATGTACCGTTCATCTGAGATGGTATCTCTACAAAAGGGCCACGGGACATGAGAACAGCAAATGAGAGCAAAACACAATACTTTAGGTGCCATAATTCTCAACCACTTTTGAGAGAAAAGGGCTGGTTTAGGGGAGTTTCTGAAGGAGAAGATCTGGAGGGGCAGATTCCCATCCAGAACAACATCCTCTCTTCTCCTTGTGCTCTCTGTCACTCATCTTTTGAGTGGTCTGAAACAAGTGCTTTGAAACACCCAGGAACTTGGCATGATTTCAAATCCAGGTACAAACATTAAACACTCCTCCCGCTTTCTGAAAGATAGTTTGCACCAACACTTTGGCAACAAATTAACTTTGCCCATTTACATGGTTTTATTTTCAGACCTGGCACCTTGAACTATCAGAGCAGATCAAGAATAGCAATGGGCATTTTGCCTGTAAGGTGAAACATCATCCTAAAGCCTGTACTTTGTTACAAAGGAGTTCTAAAATCTGCCCCATCTTGGCCCCCAGGTTTGGCACATCATTAAATTTAGTCTTAGCTTGAGCAACAGAAGCTCTAAGGACAACTCTGAGGATATCTTTTCTTTAGGACTATTACTAGGTGTTTAATGAGGCAAACGTGTGATCCTATAACGTGTAATAGAGACATTTTACAAATTGCAATGAAGCTGAAAGCCGTAATGTAGATGGTATTAAATTAGAAACCTCACCTGTGTTGCACATACACCAACCTCGGCTCTCTGAGCCAAAGCTGCCACTTACGCACTCAACAGATAAATAGGAAAGTTTACACTACATCCCTCAAAGACCCCCATTTTAAAAAGTACGTTTAAAATATGCTCTGTACAGCTGTTGTCTTACCATTTGCCTTGTGCTGCACATCTGGCGGAAACTGGTCAGGAACATACCACTGATAGTCTGGCTGCACAGAACAATAAAACATTATTACAGCAATATGGACTTCATAGACACTTCAAACAAAAGAATAGTGACATGATAAAAATATAATTGTGCTGTGAAGTTTTTTACTAGTCATACAAAAGTAGTTTACCAAAAAATAAAAATCTCATCTTTAGCTTTATATTTCCACTGATTGGGTTTTTCAGCTTGCTTTCTTTTTTATGACATGTGGTTTAGATGCTACACTCATTAGCAATATTGGTGTAAACCTTTCTAGATCCCACAAATTAAAAGAAACATTAACAGAAACCAATCAGATTTTAAAAGGGCTAGGGAATAAAGTGCACCAGAAGATACCAGCAGACATCACGTTCTGTGTACTAAAGAACCCCAGAGAAACCTGGTACACATCGACCTGACAGGTGAAGCTGTTCCAGTTTGAATACATTTAAGATCTGTAACATGTTTCAGTGTGACAGGAATAACTTATTTAATAAAGTTCTCTCCTTTTCTCCCTTCTCCACAGGCTAGCATTACTGCTAGCTATAACATTAGCTGTTATGAGATAACTTCTTGAAAATACTGCGGGATCGGAAAAAAAATCCCATCTTTCTTATGAGAGGACGTATTAGGAAGGTTATGTTCATGCAAACATAGTTTTGTCCAGGGAAATCCTGGAAGAAAGAAATACTGCCATTATAGTTTATACCACACACTGTGGTAAATGAGTAGCAAATTACCACTAGAGAAAACAATTTTGGGACCAGACATTTCAGCTGAAGCTGTATTAAGCTGTTTATCTGGTTTAAGTAGTACATGCAAGCTTGTAAAATTGCAGGTAATTACTGCTTCAAATTAGTTAAACTGGGAAACTAATTCTTGTTTTGCAGAAATTACTCTGACAAAATCCCAAGTAGTCCCAAGGAGACTCACAGATTTGAACTTGTAGGG